AGTGTTAGAATAAAGATACTTTAAAATATGCAAAGATTCCAATAACATATCCTCTATCTCTCTTCCTTACAAAGTTACTAGAGGAGATGATTTAGCAAAACAAGGAAGTAAACCAAGAAAGAAGGCATGTGATCCAGGAAATGGGCAAAACGAGCCCAGAACAGCAACGAAGGAAAATCCCAGAATGACAACTGTACAGCAAGTCCAGAGAGCAGTCAGTCTAGATTGAAACAAGAGGAAGGAGGCTGTAGGACAAGAATTCGGGGGCGGGGAGGAAGGAACTTAGGCATTTGAGCATATGGAAAATATTGCTAGACTTTTGAGCAGTCTTAGAGCATTTGCAGTGGTGAAGGCAGCCAATCCCAGATAATATAGAAAATTGACAATTGAGAGGGGAAAGGCAATAATTAACTCTTTAAAAAATAATGAAGGGCTGTATAAGCTAGAAGGCATGGTTGTATCACACATTGGCTCATTGGTAAACAATATTTGCATGCATAATTTAAATGTTGATTATTGGTTTTATTAAAAATTGTTACATCACCGTGGAGGTGGAGAACAGAAATGATAAGGTCATGTTCTTATTTATCATGGTAGGAAGTCAACAAATGATCCTTAAAATTAACGAGTCAAGAATTAGTAATACAAGCACTTACTTAGATACATGGATCTAATCTGGATAAATACGTAAAAGAGTTGACACTGTTGCCTCTAAAAAGTACACTGGGATACATTGCATATGTGCAGTCAAAAGGTAACAATTCTGCCTAATAAAACTGAAAAAAAATTTAAGTATGTAGAGAAAAAAAAAAAAGAGTAGACCAGGGAACTGCTTTTTCCCTTACAAGCTTTTCAACATATATATGTATTTCTAAACGATGTATCTGCATTCATTTTAGTTCAATAAACAATGTTAAAACGTTAGCATATAATTTGGGGGTATCTGCAACGTCTCGAAGTTTATCCATGGCCAGTGAGTAAAGAAATCCGTTTTGAAGTGCTGTCTACGCCTCGATGACAAGGGCTAGTTTTTTGGTTCATTTTTGCATTTTCCACCCTCACCCCTTCCCTAAGAACACTTAGGATAAAATAAATCAATACATGTAAAAAGGGCTCAACTAAATTTGTTATAGTCTCCCTGGAGAGAGAAAAATACAGAACAAGGCACACAGACAGGGTACCGACTCAGCACAAAAATGAGTTCATTTTCCGCACGCGGATGAGTAAAAAAGTATGTCTCTGGCAAGAGGAAGAGGTACTGGAAGGTAAGGGTTTCAAAAGCAGTGATTTACGTTCGGGGCACCTGGAGGCAGCTCCAGGCACAGAAATGGAAACATGACAGGAACCCACTTGGGTAACTTCTCATCCCTTTTCTTCCTTGCCCTTTTAACTATTTGTAGTTACTTGGGAGTCTGCTGTCCGTTTCCTTTACCAGACTATAAGCCCCACGAGGGCGGGACCTCATCTCCTGCATGCGCCACTGTATCCCCAGCACACAGCAGGAGTCCACTAAACATCTGTTGAAGAATGAATATGCGATGATGCCGCTGGACAGTCATTAGCGTGACACCGAGGAATGGGCACACCGACAACAAACAAGCTGAGAGCAAAGAAGCCGGCGGGGAGATGACAAGGGCGAGCTTCTTGCAGGGTGTCTGAAATTACAAGACAAGAAGGATCCTTTGGGAAGAGCGGGAGGGAGGCGCTGGGCAGTGAGGCAGGCCTCGGGGAATGACAGCCAACCGGAAGACACATTTGCAGCGGCTGGTGGTGAGCTGGTCTATGAGAAAGTGGAGCTGGGAGTGGCGGGCGCGTGCGCAAACGCGGCCTCCGCCCTCACCGGGCGCGCCTGCGTGCGCGTGCACGAGGGGTCAGAGCGGAAA